CTACTGTAACACAAGGTCACTACATCACACTTTGCTTCTGTTGCAGCCACATCAGTGTTCTCCGAGTTCACTGCCACCCCACCGCTCCCAGTTTAACACCCACTGGTGTCTGTGTTATGTGTCAGGAATAGCTGTGTGGACCTGTTCACAGTTCACTGACCTGCATTTCAGCTTTGGATTTCACAAATACGTGCAACAGCCTCTTTACTTCATACAATGGGTAGACATCATTTTCACATTTTGTGGAGAAAGACATTTTCATGAACAAACATTGTTGCAATGGTGGTTCATTTAAGATTAAATGCCAGTTAACCACTTGAATATGTGTGGTTTGGTGAAGTATCTGTGATTTAAATTGTAGGTTTATCAGTCAATAAAAGTGTAGAATGATTTTTAATATGTATGGCTCAACAGTCTCAACTCATTAATGTACATACATTATATACAATGTATACAAAACAGACTGCATCAACACAGAAAAACAGTGATCACACATTAAAGGTAGCAGACAGACCAAATGGCAAATACATTTCTTGAATCTTGAATCTTGAACAGGGATATACACAGAGTAAAGAATGTCAAATGATTGCTTATTGTTACATACAAACTAATCCTACCTGCCTTTGTGAAGTGTTTTACTTTTATTTGCTCTGCTCCCAGATGAATGAAACTAAGTCTGAAGACAAAGGGCCAATTAAAAGGGAGGTCAAGGCTGAAGAGAACACGTCTTTCTGCCCTGCCCTGTGATACATGATAGAGTGTAGCATTACAATAAGTTGGACATTTTCTCATTCTCAAATTGTAACTTGTGTTGTAACTTGTGTTGAATCTTGTGTTGTGCTCAGTAGCGATGGTACGACATTGCTGCAGTGGCAGTCGAACTGAACACATTGATACTGACAGTGAAAGGACAGATGTCTGGGATAAGCATGGCCCCTCCAAATGATGGAGATATCCTATATGAATTTGGAAGTTGGTTAGCTATAAGAGTATTATTTTGAAATTGGTTATGTCACATACTGCAGAGCTGATAAATTTGGCAGTTGGATATATCAGCTAACAAGAAATTGCAGTACAGAAATGCCTAGATTTGAGGTAATTTAGACACATAGTTTGTCTAAATATGTATGACAATTAAAAACCAATTATGATCGGACGATATATTAATATCAGATTACTACTTGCCGTTATATTACCTAAAACTTCAATGAATAACCCAGGCTTTTATTTGCTTCAGTCACTGCACTCAACTGGCTTTTGCATAAAACTCTTGCCCAGTTGGGAAATCCTATCAGAATGTTTATTTGATACTTTGGTGCTCGTAGTTTCTGTAAAATGAACAGAACGATTGAATTATAGAGAATCAAACGGATCTAACGATGTCCGTATTGACAACATTTTAAACAATGTTTTTGTAGGTGATCTAAGCATCTAAGGCGTTCAAACAGCTAATTCAGTCGGTTGTAAGAGGTCATACATCCAAAGTACTTGTATAAAATCCAGACCAGGCCTCTAACTGGCTTTGGAAAAAGAATACCAGTGTGGATGTGAAAGTGCTCTGTTACCCATAGCTGGCATTATTTGCTACTGTAGATTATAAATCAACAAACTTGCAATCCATGATTTCTCGCTTTCTAATCAGATGACGTACAGTTAGGGCTGCCCCTGACTGAACATTTTCCTAGTCGACTAGTTGTCATTAGATAAAGCCAATAGTCAGCTAGGGGGATAGGGTGGAGGTATCAATACCATAGATAATGTATAACGTTATCAGTTACTTACAAATTAACTTGCTACAAACGTGCTCCTCTTCGTCCTGTCCCTGCCTGAACCCGCTGTGTCTACCTCCCCAGAATAGTCCTGTCTGAGCTGCTGTAAATCAGCTGCCCTTCATTGAGGCTGTGAGCCACTGGGTCTCCCACTCCCACACTAGTAGTGTTTGAGCTCCCCCTGTCCTTTGAGCTCCCAGTCCGGGTTCAGACAGCTAATAGGACCGCTAACTAGCTAGTGTCTAGCTAGGCAACTATTAGTGGAGGCATAATTCAATTCAATTTATGAATGAATTGTAAAAGGGAGATTTCTGCTCGTAAACAAACAGACTATCTTGCCCAGCTAGCAAGAGATCGGTGGTCTTTAGCCAAGGACATAAATGATTTGGACTAGGCATGAAGGGCTCTTAAAACAAAGGCTAACTCAATTATTTATCAATGAAAGTGGCTGTAACCCAGAAATGGCTTTAATCAAGTTGAAAACTAAAATGGGCTCTCTCATTCTCTCTTAACAACAGACTTAAATCTTACTTAGTTTAAGCTTAACTTGTATTTGGAACAAATTTTTGAGTTGAGTGTTTTTTTTTTTTTTTTTTTTAGAGATTCTGCAGGAAGGAGAGTGATTAAAAGAAGCCATAGATGCAGGACATAGGTGAACTCGCTCTGTGCTATCTGAAAGCATGTGGTCTGACTGTGGTAACCCGCTGTACGCACTGCACATTAATCTCAAACTGAATGCCAGCCACTGAAAAAACCCACATGGACAGAACCAATGTCTATCAGCTCCTATGTTCCTGACTGATCAAATTCTAGTGGGTGATTAATAGATCATGCAATAATTCTTAACACCTTCATTCAATATACAAAAATAATTTATTTTCCAAAGAAGCCTTCCTTTCTCATACTGGCTACAGTTATCTCCTTGACCTTGAAAAACTCCTCCTCAGGACATGAGTTCTGTAGTGATTGTAATAGATACCAATCCACCTTTTAATCTGTCAGTGATACTGTATGCTACAGGTTTGTCACATGTGTTACGCTGAATGTTTGGTAAGACAGGTTGCCCCCCCTCCTCCGTCAGACATCGTTCGGTTGAAAACAGTCAGTTATGGTGTTGCTATAAGGAAACCGCTTTTCACCTTGTTTTGCATCGGTTCTCATGTCTTGCCTTTCCCAACCCACTTTATGTTGGTTGTCCCCTTTCTTTCTTTATTTGCATCCTATTAACCACAACTTATACTTACTCTGACTGTGATCAAAGTGACAATTAAATCAATGATGACTGCTTTGATACTATAATTATGTGGTTTCATGTGCTGATATTTAATAATTGAATGATATTGTTTGTGTTTTGAAAGAAGCAATGTAGTTACACTAAAGAAACCTTTCCACCACATCATCGTCACAACAGTCAGTGATGTTAATGTTTCTGAGAAATGTTTGCTGAGTCTGTGTCCTTGTAGCATTGGTCAGCTTTAGTAGACAGTAGGGTTGTAATAAAATATCGTATCTAGTCTTTTGTTTTGTGATATTGTATCAATTATCTAAAACAATATCTTTTTCTTATATTTAAACCTCCAACTCCTAGGTCGCAGTGTTGTAAACTGAGCGCTATGCTGTTGGATGTTAAATTGACTGATAAATACAAATGCCGATCTCACGACTCATTCAAATGAAAAAGATAAAAAAAAGCAATATATATCGCCTTGCTTGCATGATCACAATATATTGACTCGTAACCTCTGTATTGAGATGCGTATCGTAGCACCAGATTGTTGCCAATACACAGCCCTGTGTGTGTGTGTATTTACATTTTTATATATTTGCTCATATTTTGCCTCATTCAAAATGGACAAAACGGTGTCATACAAATATTGCCAATATTATAACTGAATCATTCAGTTAGATTGAAGTCCATATAACTGCCAGCCATTCCACCTCCATTGCACACATTTCTCTTTCTCTTCTCTTCCATCACAAAGGGATGAGTCTCCCCTCACACATGCCACACGGTGTAACTGCTCTAATGAGAAAAGGAGCTCACCTGTCAGCTTGTACATGAACTTCCCTCCAGCCTGCACTTCAGCCACAGGCCCTCTGCATGGCTGTATGCTCCTGGTTGTGCAACCGCTGCCATACGACTCATCACCTAAGAATTATAATAGTGGTTTCACACCCAGTTATTGCTGTCTTGGGTTTTTCAATAGGATATCAAGCCTTACTTGGAAATTTTGAGTCACAGTATCTGTCAAAGTTGTTCACTTATTTGTTCAGTGGTATTACCGTGTTTTAAAACACTAAACTTGATGTCAAAATGCAGAAAATGTAACATGATCTTATACCCATCCCTGCTATGGCAAAAATCTCATTAATTCACACCACCCTGTAAATAATAGCCAAAGCAGTCGTGCCCACATTTCTCTGTCTGGCTCTCATGTGACAGCTGAGACTGCTAAGCAGGCAGTAGGAGTGGAATTTGGACCGGTCTTGTTTTTGAGGTTTGTTCCTGTATTGTGACAAATAATTGAAGCAGGAGCTTAGAGCTGGAGCCCTGCCCTACGTTTGGATGTGCATACCTGATCAGGAATATTACCTTTGACTGTTAGACAGAAAAGAGGGACTACTTTATGTTTATCTAAGATAACCGTTGGTTGACTGTTGATACATCAGACAGTCATTATGGTATTATATCTGAATGATGTTGGATATAATGCTGTTGTTTATATCCTGTAATTAGTGCATGCTCAATTGGTAGTCTACAAGAAGGAATATTTTTGTCTTCTGGTTTTTTCATCATTAGTGTTCAGGACTCTGTCACTAACTCTGCACTGGAGCAGAAGATTACTGAACTGTAGTGTTTGCTGTTGTCACAGGCCACTAGCAGCTGTCATCCCGATATGGGCATTTAGTAAGAGTGAAGATTAAATTCCATTGTGCCCAAAGAAGCTTGCCAAGAGCTCTGTGACAAGCCTAAAGAATATGTGGGTTTGTCGGTACAACATAGCAGGGGCTTATCAGTTACATTCATGTTACAAAAAAAAAATGATATCAATTCATGTGTGAGCTGTGCAATTAAGTGCACACCCAATGCTGTTAAAGAGGTTTATCTCCAGGAATAAAACAGCTGTTACATCAGTTTTGATCCAGGGCAGTATTTGCCTCAGTCAATGATTTTTTTTCCTCCAGTCAGACTCTGACTCATCTGTTTGTCACCATGTCATATTCCTGCAGACGATGAGGTTGACCTGCAACACGGCACAACACCGGGTGAAGAAGGAAACTCGGGTGGGGGAACGCCTCCAACTAAACGCAAAGGCAAGTTCTCCAAAATGGGAAGGATCTTCAAGCCCTGGAAATGGAGAAAGAAGAAGCCAAGTGAGAAGTTCACTGAAACATCGATAGGTATGCTGGGCACAACAGATTAATATTTTCACTTGTGTGCGTTACTTAATGCATGACTTACTGATATATTTTTTTCTTTTTCAGCCTTGGAAAGAAAGATTTCTGTCAGAAAAAGTCGGCAAGAGCTGATTGCAAGAGGGCTTCTAAAGGATATCCCAGAGAATGGTAGGCCGAGCCTTAGTTGTTTTTGTTGAATGAATTGGCTCGAGATTTGATGACACTTACTGTATTTCCCTCTTGTGTCTTTGTGGGGCAGAGAGCAATGATGTAAACCACTCCAAAGCTCCACCAGTGAAAAATGGACACCCTGTGCCAATGGACATGGACAGGGTGTCAGAAGCAGGGGTGCGAGTGTCCCGGGGGGAGTCTGACACTAAGGCGAATGCCCTCAGGCTGCCCCAAGCAGATGAACGTAGGAACCGAGCGCCGTCCGATGCCTCCCGAAGTAACCGTGCACCTCTGGATGTGGACTCTCACGCACGGCTTTCTGTGGACGTAGACAGACGGAGCCGTCTGCCGTCAGATGTTGATAAGAGAGGTGGCTCTTTACCCCGAGGGCCTCCACAAGATGATAGATACCGCAGAGAAGAGAGGAAAGATGGCAAAGATGACAGGGAGGACAGAGGAAGGAAAAACAAGGAAGACATAGAAAGAAGGGACTGGCGAGAGGAAAGGGAAAGGGATGGGGGAGTGGACCGGAGGGAAGACAGAGACTTCAGAGAAAGGCGAGAATGGAAAGATGACAGAGACAGAAGAGATGAAAGACCAGACAGGGACAATAGAGAAAGGAGAGATCGGGACGAGAGGGAGAGGAAGGATCGGGACGAGAGGGAGAGGAAGGATCGGGACGAGAGGGAGAGGAAGGATCGGGACGAGAGGGAGAGGAAAACTCGGGACGAGAGGGAACGCAGGGATCGGGACGAGAGGGAAAGAATAGATCGGGACGAGAGGGAACGCAGGGACAGGGGAGAAGATAGGGATCGGCGGCCTGAGAGGGAAAGGAGAGACAACAGAGATGACAGAGAAAGAGAAGACAAGGAGAGAAAAGACATGCGAGAAGACAGAGAGAAACGAGAGGAAAGGGACAGACGGGACGACTGGGCCAAGAGGAATGAAAGAGAGCGACGAGATGACCGGGAAAAGAGGGAGGAGAAGGATAGGAGAGAAAAGCTGGATCCTCAGCGCTCTGTGGATGACTCGCGGCCTACAAGGCCCGTCTCTGAGATGGACTTGCGGCCTCTTCTACAGAAGAGCTCCTCGGAGGACAATAAACGGGCTCGTCCAGCCTCAGAGGCTGACAAGAGGACTACCCTGCCCAGATACATCCCAGCTGCAGAGTTCAGAGAACGCTCAGGTAAGATCTCCCTCTCTTGTGTTGAATTATACAAACCGAAGTAGCTCGTGTTTTCTCCACTTTTTTACTAGTAAGAAAACTGATGGTTCTTTTGTAATTTCTTAGGAATCTGAGTCCCAGGGTTACCAAAGAAAATGAATTAATCATCTTGGCATACTTTTTGACTTTTTGTTGATTCTGAAACTGTACAACACGGGGGAAAGAACCGATGAGACACACATACTTGGCCCTGTTTTTTTCCAGCTCTTATCATGTAAAGAAAACTATTTCTGCTGGAAGGCAGCTCCCTTATATATCTGTGTTTCTGTTGATCCTGGTAAAGTCTGAAAGTGTTTTGCAAAAATGTATTCCAAATTTGATCTTGAGACTTATGAGACTTCAGCTTTTTGAGGTAATCAGATCAAGTGTGTAGCTTCCAGTGTTACTGTGTTACAACATTCCCTTTGAGTTACAATCTCTCCATTGGAGCTCAGAAAGGAAACACACAGGGAATGTTGTACTAAAAAGACAGTAACATTGGAAGATAACCACCTTGTGTGATTTACTCAGACTGCTGAAGCCTCATAGTAACTTCAGATAAAGTGGAATGTATTTTTGCACCGAACGAGGACTGTGGATTTTGTCCCCCATCACTTCCTCTGGAAACATTTTAGGGCGAGATCTTTTAATAGCCACTAGAGATTAGTTGATTAATTGTTTAGTTGTCAACTATTAATTTAATTGCCAGCTATTTTGATAATTGATAATTATTTGGAGTTGGTTTTTTTTAGATACATTTCTCAACATTTTTCAACATTTTCTGACATTTTATGGACCAAACAACAAATCGATTAATCAAGGAAATGATCAACAAATGAATCAATAATGAAAATAATCCTGAGTTGCAGCCCTTCTATCCTTTCTGACAATTACTTGCGTTGTGCAATGAATGTAGAACACAGCATGATAATGAACCAGTCAACATTTATTGTACTGATGGTGCTGAGGCCATTTCACAGTCTTAGAGGGAATCAGAAACAGAGAAACAGAGCTGAACTTCATGCTAAACCTCTCTCGCTTTGGCAGTGACTTTCATGTTTCAAGTGATAAGTGAGGTAATATCAAGATGAAAAGCAGCGATCTAAGCAACTATGAGTCAGCCAGTACAATGTGCCCTGCAGAGAAGAGGAGACATTTTTTCTAGACGAGATATCAGTCAAGTGTATGTGTTTACTAAAGAGTACAATTCCATTGACTGGTGTGTGTGTGTGTGTTTGTGTGTGTATGTCAAAAGCTCTTTTGGCCAGTTTCCCATTAAATACAGGATACTTGTTCGTTGAGTATCAACCAAAAATAGACTGTTGTGATTATAATGTCTTTTATTGCACACTGCCTTATTCACAAGTGTTAGTACATGGAAACTTTTATGTCCTGTTTGTACTGTGTTGACATGCAGTCGTCCCGTCTCTTGGGTACTGCACGCCGTTTTCCAAGTAAACAGTCAGTCAGTACCAACACGTGTGCAAAGGCATTTTGGGTAAATGATCGAACTGTAATTCTGACAGCGGTTAAGAAGCTAACAAGCTCAAGACATTGAAACGGTACATATCAAGCTTTGATTCGTGGATTTAGGTGAACATGAAAAGAAGGATGAACAAATCTTTAGGACCTCTCTGTGCTTCTTTGATCTCTCTCCGCGTCTGCTGTGTGTTCATCTGATTCATGTTACCTCTCATCCTCTAATGACTGCAGAGCCTTGATCAGAGTTGCCCTCTGGGTATGCTCCGAAACATCTGCTCACTAACACCTCAGCATTCTCTTCAGTGCTTCTCTGTATGTGATGACCCTTTTGTGTTTCCCTTGCTTAGTAGAGCAACAGTAGTAACCTTGTTGTTGTGAGCTCTCCTTTACTGTTTGTGTTTGCATGTGTGTACCCCCTCTGTAGAGTCCGCTGGTGTCCGCTTCGCCCCTGACCCTCATCCAGCACAAGACTCTCAGCAGGAACCTCCGCCAGGCAAACAGGCTCTGCTTCCCCCCAAATTTCTCACCACTCCCTCCACTGAGTCCGGCAGGAGTCCAACCCCCACCCCTTCTTCATCCTCCTCCTCTTCCTCCTCCTCCATTGTCTCCGCCGCCGTAGCTGTGGCCAAGCCGCCGAGGACGGTCTCCCTAATAGCCGACGACCCACCTCGACCCGCTCCTTCCTCTGCTGACTCTGACACCCCGCCCCCCGTCCCTCCCCATGCCAAGCAGCCTCCTGTCCCTCCACCCAAACCCACCAACCGCAACAGCAACCCCGCACTGCTCGGTGAGTTTGTTTGCTTCTGCTTCTGCAGTTTTATGGCACACTTAAAGTTAGCTTCCTTCTATAAACAGCTGCTTTGGTCTGTGTACCTTTCTTTATACTACAACCTCAAAAGGAGCTTTCTAGAGTTTTAATAAAGTATAGGGAAACTGTGGATTGAATCTTTGAGACACAGTGGTATCAAATTTTTATGTCAAATGCTGGATTTAAGCAGTCACCTCCACAGAGGGCCATCGACCATTTGGCCATTTTAGTATCAAACCAAAATACTGCTGAACAATGTATTGGTGGAGAGGCGTTCATTTATTAAAAACCTGTTGCCCCACAAAAGTTAGTTACAACATAAGTCGACATAGGATTTAAAATTTGCCCATCCCACGAGCAGGTATAAAATTTCCATATAACCTCTGCCTACGGCTCTTCACCTCAGTAAAAACATACAAGTACAACAAAAGTGATTGATAAATGATTGTTGAACTGCTAAGGAGGTAAGGTACAAACATCATGAGCAAATAGAAAATGTCCCAGTTTTACTAAATGACACCTATGTGAAGAAGTAAGACAAATAAACCAGTTACACAAAAATAAATAAAAATAATATTTTGCATTATTCCATTTTCTATCATGTTTCTGGACTACAGTTCAATAATCACATATTATAGTCCATATATAATATATTGGCCTGTGTCTGATTCAGTGTACGCGCAATAGGCAAATCACACAATAAACGTAACCTAGGGCACTTTGGTATACAAATCCCTACACAGTCTTCCATAGAAGTGAATATTCTTTTCCCATAAAGGTTTTATCACAGAGCAGTCCCACAAAATGAAGCTCTTTTGCTTTTTCAATAAAACACGCTATCATAAGTGTCATTGTTTCCATTACGGTGCAACTAAACAAAGCGCTTACTTCATTTATAAGGTAGAAGTTAACATCAGACTTCTGTTTAGCTGGTGAAACAGGCTGCAGGTGGATAACAGTGTATTTCTGACCTCATTTTTCAACCTGAAATATTCCTGTGGATTAAAGGCTCTTTTATTCAAGCAGAAAAGCTGTTGTGAGGTGTCTGTTAAGGTTGGGATTTACGTGGTATGTTGGGTGTGCAAGGTTTTGGCCCGCACCTATTTCAAAGATGCCGGTTTGGTGTGGCTGTTGTTTTTTTTTGACAGACCTGATCATCTATGGTTAGTGTGTGAGGTAAGGATTGAGGAAAACACTGCAGGTGGTGAAGCAGGATATTCTTCGAAAGTATAGTATGTCAAAAATAAAACCAATAACTGTGATGTGAGTCGCGTAGTGAGTCCGTGGCTCATTGCTGTGTAGGTGTTTTCCAATATGTTGTTAGTGTGCAGTTTCACTGTGTACAGCCACCAGTCTCTGAGGAGAGGACACGCACCAGCTTGTCTTTGCACCATTTATGCAATGCCAGCACTCCTCTGGAGGTTAGATAGAAACTGAATTGGCTTTTAGTATTTCATATCCTTTGTCCCAGCATGCCATAGCTGCTCTTGTTTACAGCCCATCCCAGCGCTGTCTCTTTGAAACAGTGTCTGTGGCAGGGAAGGCTGACACATTCCACTACCATGTACTAGACGAGGTTTCTATACATATGTTCCTACATTTCATTTCATACTGTCACATTCACAGTCAACAGTCTGCAAAGTAGCTTGCCTCAGTGGCAGTCTGAGATTACATTGGTAATGGACTTTGACATTGGAGAGTGTGTGTGTTTCAGTGTATTAGACTGTTGTGAACCTTGTTCCTGTACGCACACATGCCTCATGCAGGCAATTCCTCCACAATACATCTTCTGTTCTCTATTTTTTCCCTTTCATTCCAGTGTGTTGGGTAATATATTACGTGTTGTCTAATATGGTTCCTAGCAAGCAAGGTTTTTATGTTGAACAGATTATAAGGATTATAGCCTGGTTTAAACTGATGATTTTGGAGTTTAATATATGGGCCAATAGTTATCACATAACATGAATACATCTTGATATAGATCCCTTATTTTACAATAAAATCTAATTGTCAGTGCTCCCTGGTAGAGAAATCATTTGCCTATACAAAATATATGCATATAGGGATGAACTAGCCGAAACTAGGAAAAATTAGATTAATTTCCTGCAAGATAACCGTTTTACTCCAATGACTTAGCAGGAATGTCAGAAAAACGAAACTGTGTCTGCAGTGGTACTTAACAATCCCCTCCAGTCAAATACATATACAAATAGACTGCTTGGTGTCTAATGTGTCTCTGTTTTTGTAAAAAAAAAATTATAATTTCTGCATTGAAGCCCTTAAAAAGACCTCTACTCCTTTTTACTTTATTAAAAGTCCCAGAATCTATGAATGCAAATTTTTGTTTTCCTGCTGGATACAAGATGTCTCCTTCTTCACTGTAAAGTCCATTCTCAGTGGATGTGCACTGCTGGGTTCAAGTTTCTACATCACGCTGTAGAAGTTGCATACTGGACCACACTGATTTCTGAGTGGAGGGGGACTTTAACAAAAGTATTTCTTATCTTATTTAAGGCTGCTCAATTAATCGAAATTTGATCATGATTACAATTTTGGGGCCAAACAATCTCAAAACTAATGTGACATCAGTCACAATGTGAAGTCCAGGGAGCACCGTAACTACCTATACTTGCGCTGGTGGTCGCGACACTAGTTGCAGTCTTCTCCTGTCACGTTGTTTTCGTTTGAACAGGTAACTTGGAGACTTACAAATGTTTATGGGGAAAGGAAAGTGTATCTGAAGACTTCCTTGCAAAGTGTTTTTGACAAATGTCCAATAAATGCAGCATGTTGCTGAAGTTTAAAAAAATAATCGTTTTAATAATCTTGATTTCAATTTTGACCCAAATAATCGTGATTATGATTTTTTCCATAATCGAGCAGCCCTAATCTTATTCTCAGAAAGCTATTTTTCCACAGAAGTTGTTCCAAGGATGGAAGTAAACTTTGCTTCTGGACAGTGTAAAACCAAGACAAACATTATCTGGAAACCCTCTTGTATTTTTTTTCCCAGCTTGGAATGTAAACCCAGCCCCTATCCCTGACATATCCACTCATTTTTGCCAGCCTCCTCATTGAACAGGGGCTCTAAGGTCAGGCAGCCTTGTTACTGGACCAGCTGGAGACGGCAGAGTGAGCTCGGCCTGTACCTTTCTCTACCTGTATACCTGCGGCACAGGGCTGCCCAGACCTGCTCAGGTACCCAGTGGAGCAGCCAGATCTCAATCCATCCATCCTTAACAGAGCCTGCAAGACTGGTCGTATTGATTCACCGTCATAGCAAATGGAATACCTCACCTCCATTTTAACACCAGTACTGCATTGCATGTGTATTGCAGCCATTGGAGCCGTTTACAGCTGAACTAATGTAAATACTACCAAGAAAACATTGCATGGAACTTGGATGGACATTTTAGTGTGCTGGATAGCATTGAATGTGTTTGTTGGTCCCATTGGATGCTCATTGCAGACTGATGATACAGTTGTATGTTAATGTTTGTGTGTCACCCTCCACTGACTCAGCAGTAACAGGAACATCTTCCAAAGCTCTTATTGCTTTTTGGCTTGTTTTTGTTAATGAAACTAACTTCACCTGCTACAGACTGACTGTGCATCTTCATGTTCTCACTGTTTGTGGCCATCATTCTATAGGACAAAGTATTGATTACTGCTGTTTTGCTTTTTTTAAACAGCGGAGCTTTCACAGCATGGCAGTGGTATCATCATAGTGCCAGCACCCACTAAGCGCTCTCCACCGACGCCACCAAAGAGGATGACCCCTGTCACCAAGCGCCATTCTGTGGACCCATCTCCTCCCAGTCAGGCCCCAGAGTCTCCCACCACTGACCCAGTGTCCGCCCCTGTACTGGTGCCCCCTGCTGTCCTTAAAGGAGAGAACAGCGAGGACAAGCCAACTGCAGCAGCTCCTCAGACCTCCGCCGAGTCTCTGCCTTCACTGCCGTCCCACATACCTCCATCCCCTCCCAGAGTTCAGTCGCTCCAGCAACCCCAGCCGCCCAGCATCTCCTCCTCTGGTCCTGTGCCCGCCGGGCAAGCTGATCCCCCGAGCCCGACCACCGAGCCTCCCAGCCAGCCTCCCAGCCAGCTTCCAGCCATCCCCTTACACATCCTCATCCAGAGAGCCCTTGCCAGCCCCGGCCCAGCTCAGCCCAACCCAGACGGCTCCCAGAGGGCACACTCACTGCTGTTTGAGTCCCCTCCAGAATTCCTCATCGAGGGGCAGGGCAACTCGAGGCATTCTCTCCCTATCACCATCGAACCTCTCAGGCTGTAAGTGGCCCACATTATATTCAGACATAAAACATCAATGATGAAAGCTGAGAATGAAGGAGAGCAGTTTGCCTTACGTTTACTTTGTGGAATTTCAGTTTTTGATTTGGTTACATTTACCTGTATTAAACCAACTTCAACCAATGTTGCAGTTAACTTGAAAGTGTATCTGACCCGGGTTTTCAGGCAAAGAGTATCATTCTCCACCACTCCAAACAAGTTGAGTTATGTTATAGCTTTATTTATACAGCTAAGAGTCTGTTTTAGATGAATTATTCCATACTCAGTCACAGGACCAAACGCAGTAGGACATAATTCAACAAATAACAGGCGGACATGTTTAAGAGACATAACAAGCATACTTTAATCTAAATTGTAATAGGAGACAAGCAATATCAACAAAGAAAAACTTAAGAGGACAAATGGAAGAATCCTTGGGTGGGCCAGGTCAAAGAGGGATCCCCCACCTGCATGATTCAGTGCGCTGTAGGAGCCAAACCAAAACAAAGACGTAGATTTTGAAATGGCTACTCGAGACATCTCTGATGTAAAGATTACACGGGGGTGGTCAGTACTCAATGACAGAAAAAGGCTCCCTTAAGGAAAAAAGTTGAGAACCACTGGTCTATTCTCCCACATTCACTCTGCCCAGTTTCAAGTAAATGTTTGTAATTAAAAAAAAAAAGACATGAGGACTTTGTTTCCTGGGTTTTCTTAGTCTATTGCTCTAAGGCTTCTAGCAAGAGAGCCACACTCCTTAGTCAGCCAGATGAGCATTATGTAGAACTGTGTTTGTTAATCTCTTCAGCAAACAATCAAGCTTTATTCCCTTACCTAGCGAACAGGCTGCAAATTGCCTGCGACTGTACCTAACAGTACTAGGATTAGCACAGATCAGGGCAGATTGCAGCTGCCAGAAGCCTAAACTATTAGTTTATTCTCACACTTGGATACAATAGAACAAAGGACTGAATCTGAGTGTCTGAGCTTCTTCAGCTCTCTCACAGCTCTGCTTGTTCACAGGCCAGAAGATGATGACTTTGACATGGAGGAAGAGTTGCAGAAGCTACAGCCTCAGAGGATTCCTCGCCAGGCCGAGCTGGAGCCCCGCAGCAGGAGGGGTTTGGTCGGAGACCCCAGAGTGAGTGTCATCCATGAGGGTGGAGGACCCGGGGAGAGCGAGGAGGAGTCTGACTCTGACGGCCCCATCCTGTACAGAGACGACGACGACGACGACGACGATGACGAGGAAGGCCCTCCGAGTAAGTTGGTCTTTCTTCAAGTGCAACAAATGGTGACGATTTCACAAAAAACAACAAAATGATTTAAATCCTAAACTGATTTTTTAATTTGCAGTTTCCAAAGTAATCATTGTCTTCAATATGTAATTGAAGCTCATAAGATCCGTAAAATGTGTGCAGCTAAAGAGTGCTGTGAGACTGGGGGAGCTTCACAATGCTCTCGAGGATGAAAAAACGAGAATAAAATGAGCTCCAGGCTAGCAAGTAGAGCAAGACTCATAAGAGAACAAAAAAATGAGGAATATATTATAAAATATATATTGCGATTAAAAACACCCGTCTGTGCTTGACTCACTGCTTTTGAGATGAAGTATCTTTGGGTTTTGGACTGCTGCTACAACCATCTTATGAACCATCTTAAGCTTTAGAGGCGTTTCCCAAAAGCACAATAACTGAACACACTACATGTTTTAATTATTCAGAGTTGCCACAGGTCTGGAAAGTACTTGAAAGGGCTTGAATTTAAAAATGTAATTTAAAAAAGGATTTAGCCTAGCAGAATCTCAAAATAATTTTTTTCTATATCTGGAGAAAAAAATAAAATAAAACTTACGCTAACATGCACACAAATATGAATCTGCTCTGCTGAAATAGGGATGGGACAATATACGATATTAATAGTTATTAGTTTATCGTGTATCTTTTTTATTAATGCTGCATATGTTGTTTGCCAAATGCTTACATACAGCAGGCCTAATACAGTGGGCCTCCAGCAGCAGCTGAATCAGAAGACCTTTTTCACAGCAGCCATTTTGACAGGAAATAGTAGGGTAAATGCAGGTGTTACTAATGATACTACGGTTCTGTTCCATTTAGTGTATTAAACCCTTTCCAGTGAGCCAATGTGCACAATAGGAGCATCCTGACTCTGTTTGACCTGAATCAAAGTTCACTTTCTTAAACTGACTTCCACCCAGGAATATGAATTGTTTCATTGTTTGAAACTGTTTACTGCACATTGAGCCTTATTTTCATAGTGAACCACTCCTAATGTAAAACCCTTCATTGTGTCAAGTGCCGCTTAATGATGTTTTTTTATGGGTCGTATGTGTAACAGGTGGGCTGGCGAGCCGCGTGAAGAGGAAAGACACATTAGCCCTGAAGCTGGAGAGACAAGAGCGAGAGGAAAGGGAGGCGCAGGAGAACCACGAAGACATGAGCTGGCACAACAGGGACCAGTGGGTGGCAGTGAGGAACAGGATCGGTACCACACTGAACCGGTAAATCAATCGTCATATTGTATTCAATATGTCACCCATCCATCACTGTTTGACCGATCACATCCATTATTTATAGTGGAACTCGTATCGTTTGAGAGACACTCCAAGGATAAATCACACTCATACCTTTTTAGTTTGTCGTGGAACGGGTCACCTCTCAAGACAAAATCTGTTCCTTTTTAAATGATCTCCATCAGCCTTTAAAAATGAGTAGTCAGCAGTGTTTTGTGTCCTCAGGCGTCTGAGTCAGAGGCCGACAGCAGACGAGCTGGAGCAGAGGAACATCCTTCAAGGTAAGGCTCTCCGTCCTCCATCCCTCACTTCTTCGCTCAGGTGTGTTTATTTGCATTCGATTTATCTCTGCACCACAAGGTCAGAAAGCACACTTTTCATTTTTCTCATCTTTGCTTCAATCAATAGTTTGCATTAGTCATTCGTCCTCTGGTTTTCTTCCCCTCTTGCCTCAGGCATATTGATGGTCACTAAACACACTGCAGTTTGTGCAGTTTTAGTGATTTGACTTTATTAAGATGTTTCTGATTTGAATAATAGATAAACGCTGGGATTTATGAAGAAGAATTTGGGTACCTCATCAATCGTTCACACCAGACTTGCACATGTTTTTCTAGATGGAGTTCATGTGATTTAGTAATGGGGAGATTAAATAAGATGATACACTGAATCAAATATCCATCCAGTATTTTATAGGCTGTTTCACTGTATGGAGTCTACACAGCGAGCGTTTACATTTTATTTGTCATGCATCTTTTGTTCTCTCTAGTTTCATCACCTCTCTGTGTTTTTAATACTTTAATCCTCTCTTTTATTGTGCTATCAGTTCTATAAAGTATATTTTTACAGATTAGTCCTGATGTTTGATGATCAAGACTGAGATAAAGCTCCACTGCCATACAGTTTTGCTAACACTAGATTTTCTCCACACTTGTTGTCAGGGAGTTGTTTTGCAACTTGCTTGAATGAAATACATTTTATTACATTTTTAATCAAGCTCGATAAAGGTGACAATACAGAGAACAATAACTGAATAATGTACTTCCAGCAATTAGATAAAATACTACGGAGGAGTTACATAGGTTAGCAAGTATGAGAAAATACAGAATCAGAAATCAGCAGAAGTGCTAACAAAATAAGAACAAATCACAGGTACAAACAAAAATAAGAGCAAATGTGTTCATATATCACTCCTTGCATGAGGCCCAATGACTCATAGTCATGTAGACATCCCTGTCTCAATAAATATGTGCTCCAATGTGTCCTCATGCTTTGTGTGTTGACAAATTTGACCAAATTTACAAAGAATAAAACTAAAGACATTTCCTGTAGTGTTTTTTTTAGTCTTTTTAGTTTCAGTTAACTAAAATGGTTTTTTTTTACACAATTTAGTTTTAATTACCTGTAATAACCATCACACAAACAGAAATATGCCTTCTTATTTCTAGACTAAATCCACACAGATTCTGGCTCCAGCTGTACAAAATGAACCCCCCTTGTGGCGAACTGTTAAAACTACATGAACACATGAGCATTATGAGCAGAGTGTACCAGCAGACCGAGCGCAGTGAAAATCAGGTGAAACATCACTGCGCCATCACTGCGATGCCAAGTTGGATCCCAGCAGCGAGTATTAACATAATACTTCTCAGAATCTGTCAACACGTTTTGATCCAGGATTCATACCACCGCACCACGTCTCGCTTGTCCCCAAATGACTCGGCCAAGACGACGCACCGCGCCCGCGCTAAAACAATGCAGCGCCTTGTGCGGAGAGCGAGGCGGTGATTAAAGACTCCCGTTACCGCAGCGTGCCGACGGCAGCTCGGGTGAAATCCACCTGACTGGCTGCAGTGTTTCCCCTCTCTCATGGAATGTCTTTTCTCCCTGCAGCCAAGAATGAAGCAGATCGCCGATTAGAGAGATGCGAGATCAAACGGAGGCTCACGAGAAAGGTCAGGATGCAACCAAGAAACTCTATCATACAGCAGTTATTATTAGGAACAAGAAACGGACCCCTATGGTACTGAGACAGACCTCATTTATTTAACGTGCTGCTGTCCGTTCTGCCATCAGCTGTCGCAGAGACCCACAGTGGCCGAACTCCAGGCGAGGAAGATCCTGCGCTTCCACGAGTACGTCGAGTCCACCCACGCCCACGACTATGACCGGCGAGCGGACAAACCGTGGACCAAGCTCACTCCTGCTGACAAGGTGAGGCTCACATCCTCACCTTACACATATATATATACATACATACATACATATATACACACACACACACACACACACACACACACACACACACACACACACACACAACACACACACACACACACACTCAACACCTCTCTTTATACCAGCAGGGTGCTTTAGGCTTAGAGTATCTTAGCAAGAGAGCGCCTAAGCCCCAACAGCAACTTCAACTATGGTCGACTCTGAGAGGATTTGCATTCCAAGCAGATTCAGTATCGAGGAGAAATCCCAGGAATGCAATACAGACGCTGCTTAATGGCTTTACCAAGTGAATTACCTGGTCCAGTGAAGCTCAGAAAATATGTAGGGACAGAAATGATATGCATGTTGAAGTTACATCATTTTCTGTATATGTTTAATTTACACTAAAAGTAAAAACAGGTGTTTTTTGGAGTCAGAAATAATCTAGCTTTGATCACACACTTCCTTTCTTCTTTTGTGCCTCGCTATAAATGGATGAAACCATCTCGGCTGAAGTGCTGTTTCTTTCATGTCTCCTGTCAGGCTGCCATCCGCAAAGAGCTCAACGAATTCAAGAGTTCCGAGATGGAGGTTCATGAAGAAAGCAGGATCTACACCCGGTCAGGCTCATATACAACGTCCCATCAATAATTCACCTCAGCTGTTCTCTGAGTTTATTCAGCTGCGTCATCAATACTTTATGACTTCTGTTTTCTCTTTAAAAGATTTCCAGTTTTTTACTCTGAAGACGTTTGAATGATGAAGGCTCAGAATAACCAATGTCTCCCTCTCTTTCCGCTAGGTTCCATCGGCCTTAGCTGTCCACGCTGACCAATAAGGCACTTAGACTGGGAGCAGTGAGGAGGCGCAAGCCCCTCTTCCCCTGCTATGAACTGAACGTGTGGCCCATTTGGTCTGTTTTTTTATTTTATTACTGACTGCCTGCTAATCTGCTTCAGCTGAAGACGCCCATAACTGGAACTGAAGCGAAAGAGGCCGCGGATCAGTTCAACCTCAGGTGGTTCTCCAGTTCTCAGACTGGAGTTCAGGACAGGAGGAGTTTGTCGGTGCGTCCATGTTGGAGGCACCCGGTGCCAACACTAAAAAGGGGCGAGGTAGCCCGCCCTCCCGCCCTCCCTCTGCTGGGGGGTCAGAGAGCATTAGAATGAACTGAAAGGATAACCATTGGAGGGTTATCACACTCTCACCATGCCTTTACCTGCCTTCACATTATATTCTCTCTCTTCCTCTTCCAGAACAGGAAGACTGTGCACATAAAGAGGTTCTATAACACTGTCGATGGTACCACCAAACTAATCTGGACTGTTTAAACACTGTGTTTATATGTTAGGTACTACCCAAGCCTTACTCCTCACATGATCTCACACTTAAGGTTCAGACATAATGTGAAAGACTTCCGGCGTACAGGAGTGTGTTTCTTATTTAAACTCACTTGTAGCTCTATTTGAATCAACAGTTTGCGCTCTGCGTGTAGACCCCCAGAGCGCCGATTCCAAACTAATATCCGGAAAAGCGTGCATTTTACTGTATTTTTAAATGATTCTCATGGAGCACATTATCACTAGATTATTTTCTAATAAGGCACCTTATGTTCCTTAATTGGGTGTGTAGAAAATGGAAAAGTCTTGAGCCTATCTATGTTTATAATTGAATTATTCAAGCAGGAAAATGTACATATTTTTATTTTCCTGGCTGTTTTATGGTACTTTATATATGTAAGTCCATAGTTGGCTGCAATTGTATAGATCAACTGTGTAGATTTGATTGACTTTATATTGTACATCCACAGTAATGCTGACCTGTTTTAATTGTAAAGTATTTCTCAAATGTTGTTTCCAAGTAGTAATGAGACAAAATATTTCTTTTTTTTTTTGATACAGAGATCTTTAACATGTTTTTGCAAACCACACTGAATACATGAACAATCCATTCAGAAATTAAAATAACTTGTGATTTTCATTTCAATACTGTGTGATTATTCCTAACATTGTAATCCATTGGTCTGCTGGGGAAACAGCTGAGGTAAATGGTAAGTGTATGGCCTCTTAACATGACCAGATGAGGGCAGTGTTGTACAGAATGTGCAGACCGATTCACAAAGTCCAATAATGTCCTCTAAGACTAAGAGACCCTTAATTGGAATCATGTCTTCGCTCACAGAGCTGTGTACCTGTGTGCTTCCAATGTCTCACACAGAACAACAAGTGCAACAGACTTTATCTTGGACAAACCTGCTGTTTGTCCCTTTAACCTCCACTGGGATGCTAATTAGCAGGAAATAGACATGGTCGGCAGGGACTCAGCTCTCCTCCACTTAGTGTTCAGACACTAACTGAATGTCAAATAATTATCTAAATGAACTCATTAGAGGGATGCACCTTATATCTGATACATTGTTTTAGTGTCTTCAGGTGTAGAACAAATAGACTGCAGTACATCCTGCTGCACAATGGAACGCTTTAAGGTGCAAAGTATATAATTCATCTGGTTTTATTGACTAATAATCATTAAATATGATTTTATATTAGAGATATAATGACAGTGAATGGGTACATTACCACAAACCTCGAGTCTGCCATTACTCATGCAGTCCAGACTGAGCTGCAAATAATTGCTTGCAAACTTTTGATATCTTTTTTACAGTCATTGATATATTTCAACAAAAATACAAAAACAATTGACTTAAAGGACAGAAGCCCATATGAACACTGAAGCTGTTTTGCTTTCTGTAATCACTCTTCCTGTCCATAGTGGCCATGAGGAGATCCATCCTCTTCCAGTGGAAGTGATGCGGGACAAATGCCACAGTCCTCTATCTGCAGTTAATATGAGGCTTCATCAGTCTGAGGCAGACAAATCAAATGGATTTCTTCCAAAGTCTTTTTAGTCTTACCAGTACAAAATTCCTTTTCTCTTTTTTTGTTAGCATTCCTCTATCGCAGCTCAAAAAGAGCGACTTTGGAACATGTCTAATATTAATTAACTCCAGCTGCTGAGGCCTCATAATAACTTCAGATAATCTGCAGTGTATTTTTGCCAGAATTAGGACTGGATTTTTTTTTTTGTTGATAGTGACAGCAGAAGAGTGAGAGAGAGAGGGGGGATGACGTGCAGCACCCTTATCACTTCCATTGCAAGAGGTTGGATGATAACACCAAAAACTGTTTCCAGACTATCTTGAGAAAATGTGAACCTCTCCTTTAAGGGTTAAAACATATTCAATATTTGAGCTGACAAACGCAACCCGACCTCAAGGTCCATCTAGTATGGAGTCCCAGATGTTGTCATATTTGAGCACTTGAGGGACTGCTTTGGCTAAAAGTTAAGTTTCAAAATTCCTTCCTGACCTTGGATTCAGCAGTTTCCCACTCTTATTATGCTGTTCTAATGTGCAGTGGTTAATGGTAATTATTGTTCCCAAAAGATATTTGCCTTGCAATGTATTTAAATATATATATGCTTTGAATATAAATATTTTACCTACAAGAATAATTGTATTACTTAACTGAGAGAAGTACAGTACAATTAAATACAATCCAGAAATCTCACTTTGGTAATAACATTAAGACAAAAGTATCCTTGTGCTGGTCGCAAACATACAAAATATAGTTCAATATAAATACACATATCATGTTTAATATTATTCAAAGTTTTAATACCAAACAAAACTTATTGTATTTTAAAAATGAGTTTTAACAGTAAATGAAAAAGGTTTGTCTGCGTACAGGTACAACAGCGGGAGATTTGCGCTATTTCTGTTTAGCTCGCTGTTTTTACAATAAAAGTGTAAAATAAAGTCCAGAGAGCAGAGGAAGAATCTTGTGGCCTCGTGTGTTTCGCTCACAAACCTTTTCCGTCCATGTCTGACAGTTAGCAGTTAGCTCTGCTAGCCAAAGCAACGTGATGAAGATGAAGATGTCAGTATTATTGTAATACTGTTTGGAAAAGCATTCATAATACACACACAGCTTAATTTATCAGATTTAATCTTAAAGCACACTGGATGATGGAAAGGTAAAGAAGAGACCTTGAAATTCCTTAAAGGATGGGAGAGATGAATCACTAATGAAAATAATTGTTTGTAGTTTTATCTCTAACGCTGTAATGTAAGAGCAGGTGTATTTAATGTATTCACACTAACAAGTCTGTATATAGATCAGACCGTACTGCTCTGTTCACATGCTACTGGCAGCTTGGCTTAAAAAAGGGATTACACAGAGAGTGAGAAGTGCTGGCTTGATAAATCATCTTGGAGCCCATATTAAATCCCACTCTGTCAGTAATCATTAGTAATAATGTCAAACCGGCAGTGATGATAGAAAGCAACTCCATAAGGCCTCATTTGATTCACTTTCTTCTTCATCAGCTGCTTTCATTTCCATCCATTACACATCCTCCACTTAAATAAGTCTGCCTCATTTTGAAGGCTGCAGCTTGAATGATTGAATGCTGGTCATAATCACTCACAGGATTGAGTCGTTAGTTCTTTAAAATGATTTGACCAACCGCATCAGGTCAACCTGTTTGCTTGATCAGGTGCCTCTGCGCCTTCACAGCCAGGGCTAAATGAGTCCTATAATTACATGAACTCTGAGTATGTAGGTCCTTTTCAACAGATTGTCAGACGATCTCATCTCTAAATTGGTCAGCTAGTTATCACACTGTTGAACAGTTTGCACAGTGCAGCATGTGTGGAACTAATTAGAGCTGCTGACATCCTGGCTGGTAGCCTAAATGCAGCCAGAGAAGAACAGCTAGTGGCATGGATGGCTACGTTGGTGGGTTAGTTTTAACCTGGCGCACCAGATGGTTGGTCACACAGAACCATCTGGGTAGACATTGTTTGGAAAAAGGCAGGCACTTTCAAAAAATACTTGGTGGGTGATTGGAGGAACCATCTGTATATCACCATCTATCACAGGCAAACTTGTACCAATCAGACCTCCAGCGGAGCGAGTTGGTAAATCCAACTCTTGCCAAAGGCATTCAGGAGTAGAGCGTTTTCATTGAGAAAAGCCTTCAGAGTCGTTCTTTGCTCTTCTTTCAATGAAGAAATACTCCCCAGTTCTGATAGAACTGATGCTAGCAGCATCTACACTAACCTATATGGGAGCCACCATTGTTGTTTTCACTGTTGTCATACGCCTGTAGTTGCCAGTAGTTCCTCATAGGATGCTGGCTGTTTAGAACCACTGGGGTTTGGACACAACCACATTAATATGACTGTTCACCAGCAGCAGCAGCAGCAGGTTAAAGTTTCTTGTGAGAAATATCTACTGGTTGGATTGGTGCACAATTGTGTACAGACATTCATGGTTTGCAGATGATGATAATGACTGATCAGGTGATCCTCTGATTTATTCTTGTGTCATCTTGAGGTCAATCTCAGAACAATGATTCATCCTCTGTAGGCGTCAGGCAATGTTTTGGTGTTTCTGGTGTAGCCAGCAGATACCTGGAGAAAAGGACATCCGGCCCAACACTTCCTCTGAAGTCTGATTAGCGACATGATGAACTGACTTCAGCTAATCTCTGATACATTTTTTAAGAAGCCCATAAAAAGGTAAATTGACGAAATTGAACTACAAATGGAAACCAGAACTCTTCTGATGCCAAAATGTTGGTCCCTTGCCAACAAGTTCTGCATTGATATACAGATATCAGTTTATAGACATTAATCATGAGGTTGACATTTGTAGTTTTGAGTGAAATGTCTCAACAAATAGTGGATGGATTTCTATGAAATTTGCATGCCGCCACATTAAACTAAGATTGTGAACATGGTAAACGTAATACCTGCCAAACATCGGCGTGTTAGCATTGTCACTGTGAGCCTGTTAGCATGCTGACTTTAACATTAAGATCAAAGCAGAACAGTACAGAAAAGTAAAGTCCCATAGACCCATAGCTGGCATGTCTGTACACTCCTACTCTGGTTCTATTGTTCCCTTTGTGACTTTTCCCCTCTAATAAACACACATTGTCTTGTGAATATATAAAAGCATTTTTGACAAAATATGATTTATATGCTAAATTTTGCATCACAACCTCAAAACTTTGTATAATATTTTTTTCCACAAATGTAATGTAATGTGACACAAAACAAAAGCTGATTCATTTTACTCCTATCAGCATCCGTAAACCTCCTCAGAAATTACCAAGCAAGAAAAACAAAATCACTAAGTACTTTTGTTCTCGGAGAGCGGCACGACATGAATGTATAATTAGCTCTGAATTCCAAATGTTGACATCGACCGTGTTTGTCTGTGAGTTATTATGTTTTTACCCAAAAAAAGAAGGAAAAGAAATCGTGAGCTGAACTCAACTTCATCTCGAGTACGAGCATTGAATATTTATGACTGCACTGGGTCGATGAAATTTTTATGCCCAATTTGTCTTCCTGGGGACTAATCGATGCATTGAGTTTTAGCGTCAGGCAGCCACATTTAGATAACAAACCTCCATTAGGGACTATTCATAATCTCACCGCAATATCACATCACATTAAGGCTTCACTATTGTCTAGTCATGATAATGGATCATTTTACAATGCATGATTTGGGATTTTAAATGTGGAAGAGATTAATTAGCTTCCATGCGTTAGTCGCGTCCCAGTTACGTTAATCAAATCCCAGGTTATTACAGCAAAACCAAATGCTGACCACCTTCTACTGCTGCTGACAAAGCACAAATGGAGGAAAGCTGTTTATGAAGCAGCAAGAGATAGGTTGTAAAAGAGGCTGCGGGGCATCACTGAATCATTAGAGAACCCCTGGAGTCTTCAAACAGTCGCTCCTGATGCAAGACTGTAATTACATTTTATGAATATAACAAAGCCTGCTGCTGCCACTCTCTGTCGCCGCGGAGGCAACCCGGGGGTGCCTTGCTGCCAGGTGATTGGCACTCGCAGCCCGTGAAGCTCATGGGAATGCTGCATTGGCCCTAGATCAGGAGATTGCGTTCTG